GAATTACTGCTGCTGTTTCCCCTGGGATCACTTGTGCCATTTGGCAAAACTGCATGAAAACCTACAGATGAGAGGGGCAGCACCACACAAACCCCTCTCACCCACAGCCCCTTTGATTCCCTTGGCCAAGGCACCATTAAACAAATCACACTGGGTTGTAAGAGCCATGATGAGCATCCTTAGCCGAGAAGCACAAACTTTCACACCATCTACTTATTTTTCCTTGCTCAAAACCTATTTTTTCCCCTATTATTATTATTACTACTACTACTATTATTATTATTATTATTAATTGTGGAGCTGGTGGTTGCAATGCTTTCCAGCTTGCCTTTGGCATGGAGATCTCCCAAAAGCTGCAGTTTTATTTCCGTGCAGCTTTCACCATTCACAACAGATGTCTGGTTTGTTTAAAATATTCAACAGCCTAATGATTAATCAAGTAATTTCACCTACAAAAAAATACAATTTTATGCTATGAAGCTTCGAAATGGCATTATCTGCTTGGGAGAAAAAAAGGAAACCAACTTTGTGTGCTCATTAAGAGCTCTAGAAACCAGCTGGGCTTCTATTGTGGCTGTTTCCCCCCATTTCCTCCCTTCCCAGCAAGGTGGGGAGCAGCTTTGCTGCAGCATCCTGGATTCCTATCATCATGCCTTGTCAGACCAATATCTTGTTTCTTAACTCTTCCTCAAGGAGCAAGTCCCTGCTGTCACCTTCAGAAAGTCTCTTTTACAGCATTTCTGCCCAGCACCAACCCCAAGCACTAAGAGGAGGCAAAACCTAAAGGCTGGGTCTGCATTTTCTACAATGAGAATAGTGGAACACTGGAACAGGTTGCCTGGAGAGGTTGTAGATGCCCTATCCCCGAAAACATTCAAGGTCAGGTTGGACAGGGCTTTGAGCAGCCTAGTCTGGTTGAAGATGTCCTGCTCACTGGAGGGGGGATGGACTAGAGGCCCTTTAAAGGTCCCATCCAAGCCAAACCATTCTATGATCTGCCCCATGGAGGCACAATGTTGCTGTGATGCCCTTTGTTAGGACAACTTATCCTCAACAAGGCTCTTGCAGTTTGCCCCTTTGGGCTGAGCTGGTGCTAAGCAATTTACGGTGCTTTTTGGTACACCCTCAAGAAATGAGCAACCAGAAGAGCATGCCAGAGAGCTGGAAACCTGCAATATCTAGTTACTGTGAGGACACTCACCACTGATTTAATGGCATAAGACTCCAAGCGAACTGGTTTATTTTAAGCTCACTGAGACCAAGTTTGCCTGGCTAATGCATTCTGACTTTTAGATTGAAGACTTAAATATCTTGAGACTTTGGGCAGATTCTTTGGAGGACACACGGTTTGGAGGAGGAAACCAGAGTCAAAAATAACACCTGGAATTGTTTCAACAGTACTATAACTGATCTTACTAGGACCAACGGAGCAGCCAAAGCATGGCCATCTGCTTCCGCTCCCCCCTGCCCTCCCGGCTGACTTCAAACCATCCCACCAGCACAAAATGCATTGAGCATCCCGCGGAGGAAGGACAATTCAATAAGCCTGAAACCAAAAAGGAACACTTCATTTTAGCAGAGGAAGCTGTAGTGGTGTGACTCACTCCATGGCTTTTGAGGCTACCCCCCCACACACACACCTTTCAGCGCTGCCACTTAAAGGTTATTTTTGTGTTTGCCCTGTTACAACCACACAGCTCTCGAGCCCTGCACTGCTCCAGAGCATCGGGGTGGTTTAAGACAGCTCTGGTGCCTGCTGAGCTGAGCATACTTAAGGATTGGGATGCACAGGAGCCATCAGGGATTGTGTGTCCATTCCCTGGGACGAGCATATGGGAGACAGGCAGAGTTTTGGCTCCACTTCTTCCTGCTCTTGACCTGCCAAGTTCCCTGCCAGGGACATGCCTGGCCAGGCCTGTCCCTCCAGACGGGACACTGGGATTGGGATCATGCTTGTCAGACTCTGTTGCTCCTGGGAAACCTGTCCGCTCTGTACATCCTTCACTTGTCAGAGTAATGCTTTCTTGTTGTGGCCTGTCCTCTGTGTAGTTTGGACACTCCTTAAGGAAGCCTTTAAAGAAAAGAAAGCCCTGATAGGGGCATCATCCATAGCCCTGAAGGTGAAGCTGGCCACTGCGGCCAGCTCAAGATGCAAATAGTCAGTGGAGACTCATCTTACACCAGCCCAAGTGCTTTGGCAGCCCTAATGGCTGCCACATGCAAGGAAAGGAATCCACATGGCCAGGACAGCTCTGTGCACAGACTCCTGCTCATACAGAGCCTCTCTGAGAGGCAGGGCAGGTTTATCAGGGAGATTCCTGCTACCATCCCAATCCAATTCCCCTCCTGAGCCCACCAAGCCACTGCTCTACTGCACCCTCCTTCAGACAAGAGGTGGAAAGGGACTTCCAGGATGGTCTTTTCAAGACTGTCCTATTAAGCCATCTGTATGACCACATTGGCGGGAGGACCATACTGCAACACAATATGTTGCCTCATATACACAGGAAACATACTCAGAGCCCCCGGTGCTTCAGCTGATGGGGATTTTTCTTCCTTCTCCATCAGCCACTGCTGTAAAGCTGTGCTAAGAGGCAGCTACATCCCCCAGCAGGAAGCTGTGCCTCATTAGCAGAGGTAAACAATTCCCCTGAACGTGACAAGTCAAGAGAGCACATTAAATATGTCAGAATCTGAGGGGTTTTTTAATCCCTGCTCCGGAGCAGGGTGTTGTGACAGGAGAGGATGCCCCAGCATGGCACAGAGCCCCCCACTGCACCCCAGCTGGCATCTCCCCTTGCTTGGGGCATCTCCCCTGTTCAGGAGGCAGGTGAGGTGCCCTCAACTTCACCCACCTGAGCAAGCTTCAGCACTCCCCACTGATTTCCCTTGCTCAGTTGGCACGGTTTCACACAAGATAATAAAAACTATCCACCATGTGCTTCTAAAACATCAACCAAAGCATCCATTCAGTCTCCTCCCCACACCAGAGCTCAGCAGCTCCAGCTGCAGCCCTTCCAGCACACATGGAGATGGCAAAAGCCACAAGCCACTCAAGTCAAGGCAGTAACAGGCAGAGCAAATCTCTGCACGGCACTTGCAGCTTTACCATTGGGTAGGTGCATGTGAGAGCAAGACAGCGCTGCAAACAGTATGAGTTTTGCCCTGTTTTATCAACTGGCTTCTGTTTTCCCTGGCAGCCTCATGCACACACACACAACAGCACATACTTTATTTACAGGAGTCCCCTTTTCTCCCCAAGGCTGCCACCACATCCCCTGCAAAGGAGCCTGGTGCTCACGTACAGATCAGCTGCTCGCTGCTTGGTGTTATCCCCGCTGCTGGCGGAGCAGCCTCCTGCCTTATTTACAGCGTGCTACTCACACGCTGCTCAGAAGACAGAATTATTTATGTCCTCGCAAGCTTTTCCAGGCTCCTCAATGCTGTGGTCTCCACTCACTGTGCAAACAGTTGCTCGCATTCAGTGGGTGTCTCCGAGCTGCGGAGGGGCACCAAAGGCCGTTTTACAGACACAGAGTGGAGAAGCTCTAAGTAGTTCCCAAGCTGGCAAAGCCCAGATTCTCCAAAGCACCTCATGTTACACAGCAGTATCCATGTTCAAAGCAAAGCCCCACTTTGCACCTGAGAGCACCCATTTGTACAAGCCAGACCCCCGTCCTCTCTTTTGCCTGGGGTATACACAGGGCACCCTAAGAGCAGATCACAAGCACTGAGAATCCAGCTGTTTCCCAGGTCAAAGCAAGCCCATGGTGCAGGATCAGTCCCCAGTGCCATGAACACAGAAGCAGCCTCTTCCCATGCTTGCAGTAGGGCTCTCCCAGCCCTGGGACTCAACCAGCCTTCACAGCCCACAGCTCTGCACCTCATTTCATTGAGCCCCCAGGTACCAGCTTCACCTCCCTGGCCCCAGTACACAGCACCTCTCCATAGGATGCTGACCACACACAAAGCATTCACAGACCGAAGCACAAAACCCAGCTCAGTCTTACCTTGCAGGTCCGTTGTGCTCAGGAGGGTCAGACCTCACACCCCAGCAAGCTCCTCACCTCCAGCCATCAGCTCTGAGCATCTCCAGCTGCTTTATCACCTCTTCCTCCTCCTCCTCTGCCAGGTGGCTCTGCCTCCCTGCCAAGGGTCCCACTGCAGCAGAGCCTGATGGTGAACCAATCCCTCCCTGATCCTGGGGACTTTGAGCCTGAGAGGGAGGTGAAACGACTGCAAAGAGATGCTTCACATGCAGAAGAGATTTGCATTGTGTTGCAGAGATTTTTTTTGCAGCTAGTACCCACATTACAGCCCCACATCATCCCCATCTGACCCACACTCCTGGAGGCAGGGGCTGCAGGGCAAGTGATAATGGGCTTTAACACACACACACACCCACATGGGCAAGCAATAAACCCATTGGCACAGCTACCCCTGATGGCTGCCTCCAAAACATCAACGTTTGGGGTGGGACCTTGACAACACGTTCAGCACATGTGGATTTGGGTGTGTGTCCCCCTGCAAAACGAGCGAGCTCAGCCGTGAGCTGTCACCTGTGGGCAGAATAGGACGGTGGGAGCTTTCCTCCCATTGCCCAGGCCTGCCTGGTTCTTGCACTGGAGCAGGGATGAGCACAGCTTTCCATACACTTGCAACGCAGCCAAGTTTAAGTGAAGTTTCTCAGAGGCTGTCTCAGGGAAAGAGCTTTCTATGAAATTTGCCCCCGTGCCAAATTGTGAGGCCTTTTTCCAAAGGGCCTTTCAAAGGAAACAGTTCAGCCGTTCTTACAGCAAAGGCAAAGCCGCATCTGTCTTAAATTCATGCTCAGAAACGGCATCATCCAGAGCCAGACCCCCGGCGTGCTCCAGTTCAGCCCAGCAGTTCACATTTGACACAAGCAGCTAAAACCAGGGCACAGTAACGGTGTGAGCTCATCTGTGTGCACGCGATGCGCAGGCGTTGCCTTGTCTCTGTGACCATTATTGTTGTTCCAGGAGAACCCATACCTGTGCAGTGATGAGTGCGACGCCTCCAACCCGGACCTGGCCCACCCGCCAAAACTCATGTTTGACAGTGAGGATGAAGGGCTGGCCACGTACTGGCAGAGCGTGACGTGGCGCCGGTACCCGGAGCCGCTGCTGGCCAACATCACGTTGTCCTGGAACAAGAGCATCGAGCTGACGGACGACATCGTGATAACCTTCGAGTACGGCCGCCCCACCATCATGATGCTGGAGAAGTCGCTGGACAACGGGAGGACTTGGCACCCGTACCAGTATTACGCAGATGACTGCATGGAGGCCTTCAGCATGCCAGCACGGAGGGTCCGGGACCTCTCCACCACCAGTGCCAACAGGGTCCTCTGCACGGAGGAGTATTCCCGCTGGGCGGGCTCCAAAAAGGAGAAGACCGTGCGGTTCGAGGTGCGGGACCGCTTTGCCATCTTCGCTGGCCCCGACCTCAAGAACATGGACAACTTGTACACCCGGCTGGAGAGCGCCAAAGGGCTCAAGGACTTCTTTACCGTGACCGACCTGCGGATGAGGTTGCTGAGACCGGCCCTGGGAGGCACCTACGTGCAGAGGGAGAACTTGTACAAGTACTTCTATGCCGTCTCCAACATTGAAGTCACCGGCAGGTAACGGCTGCTGTATTTCTTTGGGTGTCTCTTCTCCAAAGAGGGATGAGAAGAGGGTTACTGCCGTAAAACTAAGCCATCAGTGTTTCTGTTGACTGGTGTGATTATCAGTGTTTCTCCCTCTAATATCCCTTCTCCCCAAGCAGGGCAGCATCAGTAATAAAACAGATTTGTCCTTGCAGGCAGCATCTGGGGCACCTCCAAGGCTGTGTCTGAGAGAAGGGCTGTGACCTCCCAGAGCTGGGACACGACTTGGATGGATGGATGGGGTCTGATTCCCTCTGATATCTCATCCCCAGCTCTGCAAACACAGCCAGCCTCTGCCCAAGAATCCCAGGGGTGATGCTAGTGGATCTGGGAATGCGAGTGAGGAACAAGGCTCACGCTACTGAACACCAGCTCACTGCCAGTACAAGTAGGATGGGTCACTGCGAGTCATTCCTACACCCCTGGAGCAGCCCCAGTCACCCCCTCTTTCTGTAGCACATCCCAACATACCTGGGGCAGGGGAAGGCAGAAGAGGGTTTGTTTCTCCTGGCTTTTGTTTTTCATCCCTCTGTACGGTGCCATATGTTACGGTATGACATCAACCGAAAAAGCAAAGTAAGGTGGAAAAATGCCGAGATGGCTGATTTCCCACCCAGCTTGTGGATTCAGCGTGTGTGAGACTTACAGGCAAGAGGGGAGAAAATCTCCCCATCACCCACCCCCTGCTAACGAGAATCACCACAGCGACAGAGGAGCCGTTTGTATCGGTTCCAAACCATCCCCTTCTGAGGCTTGCGAGCAAAACAGAACTGTTTTGTAGGTGCCACCGAGGCTGGCTTTGAACGGGCTCCAAGGGGAAGGAAGCGAGGGATGGGAGAGCCCTTTCCTCCCACAAGGGCAGGCAGGAGGCAGTGGTGAGGGGATAGGTCTCGCTTGAGCATCCTATGGGATGAGGGGTATTTTACACCTGCCCATAAGCATTGCCAGGGGTACTAAATATCCACAGTCCTCAAACGGCCAGGGATAGGGCAAAATAGCAGAGTAAAGAGGGTGAAAGGGAGGGAAAGCAGGCAAAAATGAGAGAAATAAGTGCGTTGTCTTCCCCTCCACCCTGACCATAGCCAGTCCTGTTCCTGCTCCACCTGCCACGGCCCCATTCCCCAGGCTGCCCCCAGGGAAGCTTGGTGTTACTGACAGCAGTGGCAAAGCCATAGGGATCAATTCCCAGTCAAAGGCCACACTGACAGGGGTGGCTGGCAGGAAGGGTTGGAGCTGGTGTATTGATTTATCCAGGCTGGTTAGCCTCTGTATCAGGGACACGGAGTTTTCAGCTCAGAAAGTGGTAAATTAGGATTAAATGTTTGATGTCAGTGCAAATGGCCTTGGGCTTCCAAGCATGGAGATAACTGTGCAGATAACCGAGGACTTGTTACTGCGTTTGCAGCAGCTACAGGATACTTGATGCTTTAAGGTAGATGTTAAAATGCTCCTGGCATCCTGAGCCCTTCACCTTTCTGCCTGCTGGTGAGAAGGGATCAGGCTGCGAACACCCAGTGGAAGCTGCAATGCTGCTTTTTTGCTGGGGCCAGAATGGGATGGGTTGGGGTTTGTTGGCTGATTCCTGGTGGCCTCAGCCCTGGCGCTGGCACACTGCCTATGTGGATGGCTGCCTGCATGGACGGCTGCCCATGGCTGCTGCAGAGCAACAGCTCCTGCTCACCTCCCTCTTGGCTCCTGACTGCAGCTCCTCCAATGCAGCAGGGCCTTTGGGAGGAGAGGGCTTTTCCTTAGCCAGGGACAAAGAAAACTCTGAAATCTGCTTTTCCCAGCCCGAAGCTGTGAGCTACAGCAATACCCAGCTTTGCGCTGCTCCAGCTCTCGCCGTCTGTCCCCATGTGCTGGGTCACTCCCCAGGAGAGGGAGATGCTCATGCTGATAGAGAAGAAGTCAATGCTTGTCCTGCGCTGACTCTTCCAGCTCTGATGGGCACAGGGCAGGGAGGGGTGTTTGGCTGAGGAGCTGTGGGTAAGTGCTGTATAAGGTGGAGAAGCTTCATGTGAATCAACTCTGCTCCTGTGATTATTCGAGTCCCAGCAAGCAGGTTTTTGCACTGGAAAGCAATCTAATTCCAGCTGTAAGCAAAACCAGTTACAGTGCAGGGACTAAAACCAAATTAAATCTTGTGTATGGCTCAACAAGGGGTAGGTTATTGAGAGGAAGAGAGGAGAAATCAATGTGAGCCTGACAGGAGCACTGTGCAGGGAAGGGGGGAGGCAGGGCAGGCAGGGAGGGGGATGGATGCATGCTGCCTCTTCCAGGATGCGGGAATGACTGTGTCCGAGGAGGAAAGAGCATGGATGAAATGGACTGATCCCCTCAGTCCTTGTGCTCCAGGGTCCCCATCCATGCGCACCCTCTGCTTCACCCCTCTTTTTCCCACCAAGGAAAACCCCAATCTCCCGGAGCTTTGGGGAAAAGCAAAAAGAGGCACAGCAAAGGACACATGGAGAAGGGGAAGGAGTTTGCTGCCTTCTCTCCTTCTGCAGGCCAGAATGGACGAGGGTGGTCAAGAGTTTGCCAGGATCTCCAGAGTATCTGATGAATCCTGAGAGTCACTGCTGCCTTCCTGGGTGTTGGTGCAATGGACTGGTACCACACAGCCTCCTCTGCCCACCCCATCCGCATCTCCTCCTCCCACAGCCTCAGCCAGGTCCATTTCTCTGTTCACGGCTGACAGTTTATTTTTACTTTCTTTCTTCTTGATATCTATTTCTCGTGTTTCTTTTATTTTCCCCTCTTCTGCCATCCGGTCCCTATTGATCCGCAGAGTAACTGGAGATGCAGAGGAGTCAAGACAGGAATAGACACGAGCAAGCCCTTGGCCTGTGCGCTCGGGTGTGTGCCAGGCAGGGTGGGGAAGGGAAGTGGAAAGACTTTTCCCCACAGATCTCTATTCGCTGCTTGGTTTTCTCCTCGGTGCAGCATTGAACTCAGTCATCTTCTCAGGAATGGGTGAATGAGCTTTTCCCGGCTGCCGGCGCGATGAAAGCCGCCTCTTCTCTTTCCATTACACACTGTGTCTCTTTGGAGTAATTCTTTCCCCTTCATAACGTCAGTCACCACAGTGCTCACCAGGGCACGCTCCATCATGGAGACATTAATAAGCCATAATTGAAGTTAATGTGCCATGGCCAGGACATGTGGATCCAGTTAGGAGAAATCAGATTGAGCAGAAGTGAATCAATTTTGGACTGATTATTCAGATCTTTCTCCTTTGTCCTCCCTTGCCCCAGTGCATGCTGTCTGTCTGTCCGTCCATCCTGCCAGAGGTGAGCAGCCCCCAGAGGAAGGCAGCAGGAGGGAGCGCTACTCATCGCCGAGCAGCCCCATTTAACAGTGCTTTGACCTGGTCTTTGCTTGGGCCAAACAGGCACCAACAAAAAGACGAGGCTTCCAGTTTTGTAACAGCACTTTCTTTCCTCTCTTCTCCAGTTGGCTTTTCTGAGGGTTTCCTTGGCTTCCTTTTTTGCCTACACAAAAGAACTGCTCCTCTGCTTTGATCCCTGCCTTCCCTTTGTGCAGTTCTCAGTGCCATGTACTCAACACTGTATTGCTGTTAAAGACAAAGCAGCTCCTGCCCAGCCTGGTGGCTGCCTCCTGCTTCTGCCCTCCAGGCCAGCACAATGGTAGCAGCTCAACACGCTTCCCTAATGGGTGTAGCTCAGCCCAAGCCAGGGATGCCAGTGCAAACGTGTACCAGGGTGCTGTGCACTGCTTGGACATTCCTCCTTCTGGCTCTGTTGATGAAGTTGTTGGAGAGCCTCCAGCTGATCTTGACTTCTCCAACAAAGCTGTCTCTAAAAGGGAGGAAAGAAGCAGGTTTGGTTGGCAGAACAGTCTCTTGTTGGGGTGTTCTGCCCCATTGAGCATCTTTCCATGGGGAGCAAGGAGGGACCAGCCTCTTTGGCATCACCACTGCTTTGCAGAAGGGACCTGGGATAAATGATCTGTGAGAGCATGGGCTTCCCAGCTGAGCTTGCTCAGCCCCAGTGCCTGAGCATCACCCGCAACATAGCCACGGGCTCCCCCAAACCCCCCCCAAGAACTACCCCAACACCCCTGCACCCCTTAGCCAGCTTCTACCTGTGCTCAGCAGCCTTGGGAAGACCACAAAAAACAGGGCACGCGCTGCCTGTGCCTGTTCCCACTTCTTCCCCTGCAGCTCCTGGCTGCCAGACTTTGGGTCCCAGGAGGTAACAGCATCCTCGTGTCAAGGACAGCCAAGTCTGCGCCAGCATTGCACTGCGTTCCTCGGCCCGTCCTCGCCTCCCTGCTGGCCAGCCCCGGAGAGCTGGATAGCTGAATTCCCCTGGCATTCCTCCAGGCTGGAATTAGTTGGAGTTCAAGCAAAATCTTGCTCTTGGTCATACAGTTGATGCGCAGCAGCTGTGAGCTTGGCTTTCCTTGAGTCTCTTAAAGGATTTTACTCCCACTGCAGCAAGATGGAGGGGAACATGCAGAGGGGGGGAGGGAGAAAACCAGAGAGCTCCTCCTTCTCCAAACACTCCTGACACTTTGTCAATAGCCGGAGACGGATGCCCAAGGTCCTATTACCTGCTCCTGGCTTTGGTTTGTGAAGGTTTTTATCTCCCCTCCGATTTTGTTGCCGAGTTGCGTCCGGCCCTGAGGAGATAATAGAATTTCATCGATAGACTGAGAAGGTGATGTATGTTAAAGCACTTAATATAAAGAGACTTCTACAGGAGCCCAAATTCAATTTGGCCAATGAACTCAATTGCAGGCATTATTGCATTCCAGGAGAAAGAACAAGAGCATTTATACACATTACTCTGCAAATATTTATGTTCACGTATCCATGTGATGTCCTCTTCACCCTTCCTCCCTTCTGTTGCCTGACCCCCTAATGGGGAAGTTTGGTTCTGTGTTTGCTTTTTAAGACAGCTTTGAATGTAAGTAACGTTCCACCACTCAGCAGGATCTTGACAGCTGGT